TATTAAACAGTACAGGTCCGCGAATAATAAAAAATCCGTGCAGAAATACAAGTATACAGGTCGTACAACGTTTTCTTTTATTTGAGCGGTTGCGCGCGCAGCTGTCCAGCATTTAAACAGCGCGCCAACGTTTCAACTGTTTATATCTCAAAAACGAAGCTTCGAATTGCAAAGTGACAAAGAACTTTTCGATCTCTATTGGGCGCGGGAATTCCTTAGAATTTCAGAATATCTTTTACAAGTATGCTTCAATATTTCAATAATCAACTGTAACGATAAAAGATATTTCTTCGAAAGTGTTCATCGAGATCTATCGTTCGAGGTACGATCAACTAAAGAAGCGCGTTTCTACTTTTGTTCCTCGTCTTCATAGATCCTGTTCCTCCGTTTCGTAAAAATCGATAAGCTTTGAGAATAAAACTGAACCTCATCGTTTGCACGATTTTAATTTCGCTTCGTTCCTCGTTCCTGTACAAAACGTTTGATTCCACCGAGCTTCAGGATACCAGGTTCGGGGAACGCTGTTTCTATAGAAGAGTTTCGCGAGCATTTTACAAAGTATTTTCGAAAGTCTGTAACAATCGGACGTTTTTCTTCTCGGTTTCGATAGGTCGTCGAGACGAGGACTCTCTCCGCTGAACGTCGTTCTCTCATTCTCTCTCATTCATTCACACGCGGTTCTCCGTCGTGCCAACGACGAGTTTACTCGTTTTAGGAATGCACGCCCGAGAGCTTGAAAAATCACTGGGAATTAGCGCAGGAACCGAGCATCGTTCGACCGTAAATTAAATCTAGAGTCCTTTTCGAACAACTTCCTCCTACTTCCTCGTCGCTGAAAAGCATTTTCATTATTGCTTATTTATACGAGCCCCTCCGACGAGGTATTCGCTTTCGAGAAATGTTTTCAGCCGAGTGTCGGAGTCTTTCCTCGAATGAAGCCCACCAATCAGTCGATTCGACGAATTTCCAAGATTTTATTACGGATCTTAATTACGAGAATCAACCGCGAAAAAAGTTGTACCTTAACTAATGCTACCATTTTACGAGGTCACCATGTTGTCCGCCAATTACGAGGGGGAAATCACGGAATATATTGTCAGCTATTTTAACGACTCTTGTTCATTTCGTTCGAGCAAAGGAATTGACTTGTATAATATTTTGACATGTTATTCAGGTACTGCAGCGTTAAAATTCATTGCTGATTCTATTCTAGGGACGTCGAGTAACTTAACGATAGATTTGAGATTCGAGACAAGAAAACGTAACTGACCTGACGCAGGTACACCGTAAATATGGTTGCATTAGTCTCGAAACACAAAGCTTGATACGAAAATATAGATTTTCGTATTTTGGGGGGAAGCTTCATGTGGGTGCAAGCTGGTAGAAAGCTTCCAAGGGGATTTCTAAGGTAGAAGACGACAGAGCTCGATAGAAAATGGGTGTTCGCGATATCCTGTACTCGGCGCCCGTACAATTAACCCTTTGGAGCCCTTGGAAAGTCCAATTTCTTGGTTCTTGCGAGTACGAAACTTCATTCTCGAAGAAAACTTTATTCAGATGGATCATTCATGGGGTGGGCACAAGTACATGGAGATATACAAGCCAAATGACTACGAAGTATCACAGAAACGTTCAAGAAATACCAAACGAATGTTAAATAAGATGCACGGAGGTAAAACACGTCTGAAAAAAATGTTGCCTCTCTAACTGTCGCTTTTTTGGACCTACTGGATGAACGTAACCTATCTCTCTCCTATTTTAATGTATTCGTATAAAAGTTCCTGTTGCAATTTGGAAATAAAGCTAATGAAACAAACAGTCGTTCGCGTAACTGTAACAAATATTTGCTTCGAAGTTCGAGAAAATTTTTAAAGTAGAAAGATGATTTTGAAGTGGTCATAAGAAAAAGAAACTAATTATACCGCCTTGTGATCCCTTCGAAACCATTTTTCCGTCACCACTGACATTTTTTTCCAATCTCAATCGGATTCATTGTTACAGTTGTGCGAATGATCTTGTATAATTCATGGAATTTAATATATATGTAATTTGAATTATTTTACACAAGTCAACAGGGATCTATACTCTCTTGGGGAGGCATGTTAAAATTGGAGCAGGATAGATTGCAGTTCTTCTGAAGTCACAATTATTTTATCGTGAACGTAACGATTTATCGTACAACGAGACTTTGTGACAAAGTGTAACGAGTATTTTACTTATAATGCTAAAAATGGTAGAACAAAATGGTACATAGTATCATCGATTAATTTGTTACACAATATTTAAAAAAATTCTGTTTACCAAATTCGAATTCCAGGATTAGTTCCACTTCCAATTCCACTCGTTAACAAACGTTTCACGTGTCGATGCAACGAGTTTCAATTTTTTTACATCGTTAAAAATAGTTGCGTAACTTTTCCGCACGACGAATCGTTTTCGTCCGCGACTCGAGCTCTGCGACAGTTAGAGCGTCACCACCGGTGTGGAAAGACGATTACAGAAACACCGAACAAGTAAAAAAAGACTCAACAGACCGTCGAGGCGGGTAAATCGAAAGGTGTGACGGACGTCAAAGGGTTAAACGCCGGTGAAACGTCGCTCGATTCGTTTTGGCAATAATTGCATTCACACCCTGTCAAAACACGCGCTCCGTCCGTTCGACAGTGTCCTTCGGGTGCTCAAACATTTACTTTTGCCGCTGTCGTTGTTTCACGTTCGAACAAAACAACGCGGACACTCACACTTACATACATACACGTACACGCACGTTCTTCCACGCTGTTAATAAAATCTATATAATTTAATAAACAATTTACACGCATAACATAATCGATGAATATCGTATATGTATATATATATATATATATACTTATATATATATATATTTTTCTTCTATACAACAATAAGTTCATTAATCGCTAGATAGGATCGTTCGCATTGATACTTTCGTTCGTACGCTTTAGTTCCAACACTTTCTCGCTCCCGTGTATATACTGGACTATGACAACGTTTAAACAAAAAGCGCGCGCGCGACCCTCGAGACACGGATCCTCTCGACCCTTTCGTCGATCGTTATTTTCGTCTAAAGCAACGTCTATCGAGGTCGAATTTTTTCAACGTGATCTAAAGAAGGATCATGCACGTGAATGTTATATAGTACATAATAAATCTGTCATATACAATAAGTATAATACACGTCTAACAGTACGGCAACAAGGAAGAAATTTGATTTCCAAGACTACGCGCGTTCGCGATTAAGAGTCACCACCGTTGGGGCTGCACCGTGTCTCGAGGGTTCGATCTCGAACGTGTATACTTGGTGGAACAAATACAGCGATCACGTGAAAAGGACGCCAAGACGGCAGCACTCTCGATCGAGGGGCGCCAACGATTCGGGGCCCCGATTCTGGAGGGATTTCTCTCGAACGCTAGAACTTTAAGGGTGCGTCTTTCTAGCCCAGAACGCCAGAACCAGGCGTTCCTCGTGCATTTTTTTGGACAACAGTCTCCTCGAACTTTGCACATTTATTTATACACGTTACAAGAAAATATAGATTTCCGTTGTGAAATATTATAATATTTGAACCGAAGAAGGGATTCGGCGAGAAGGAAACACGAGACTCTGGTGTCCCTGGTTTTTGAAATTCTATCGATTCAAATCGAAAATATTATTAACAACGAGGGGGGAAATATTGAACAATTTTTAACACTAAACCTACCAGTTTTTAATTTTTGGTTTAGAATTTATAATATACAATGTTATTTTAGTGTCGTTTAATTTCACGACTTTTCTTATTGTATAATGTACGCACAATGAATTTTTCAATATTCATTTTTATTTGTTTGTTTTCTGAGAAAGATATGAAGTCTTGAACGATTTATAGTTTTTTGTAAAAAATCGGATAAAATTTGGTATCAAATTCTGGTCAGCTTAAATGTATAGCAAAGATGAAAGGAGAGAATTTTTAATTTCACACGAGGAGTTTGTTACTCTGCAATTAGCAGGATATTAAAAATAGTCAAATTTTAGACGCCATATTTTTTTTTCATAATTGAACCGCTGTTAGAAGCGGTAGGACCTTTAAAATGGCTTTTGGTTCATGGCGATCCGACTTTCCGTTTTCGAGATATCGTAATTTAAATGTAAACCTAATTTTTAAAATACTAAAAACTTTGGATGCGTGCAGTTCCGAAACTACTAGTGTTTTATTAATAATTGAACCACCGTCAGAGGCGGCAAACCTTCATCTTTAAAATGGCTTTTGGTTTTTGTCGATCGGACTTTCCGTTTTCGAGATATCGTAATTTATGTAAAAGTTAATTTTTAAAATTTCGCTGTCTCTCGCTTCCCCGTGTTAGAAAAGGCTATTAACGCGTATTAAAAATACTAAAACTTTAGACACGTACAGTTCCGAAACTATTAGTGTTTTATTAATTATTGAGGTATTGTTAGAAGCGGTGAAGCTTCCCCTTTAAAATGGTTTTTGGATTTTGTCGATCGGACTTTCCGTTTTCGAGATATCGTAATTTATGTAAAAGTGTATTTTTCTTAATTTGACTATCTCTGTCTCCGTCTGACGCGTCGCGTCGTACCTCTTTGTCGCACGTGAGTCGTGACCGAGTGACCTAGTTTCGCGTAGTATTTCCAAGAATTTACTACGCACTGTTTACTATTTTCACGCGCGCGAGTTCATTGATTATCAATGAACGTAAACAAAGGCTTCGGACCGTCGTATCTCCGAAACTAGCCACCGCATCGACTTGAAATTAAAATCGCTATATCTCCGGAACTAATAAAGCTATCGGCTTGTTCGACCGCTCATTTTAAAGGGAATTTCATCCTCTATCCGATGACCATATCAACTATTACTATTTCTGTTGTCTTCTATGTTTATTTTGCAATTTACTTTGACGCTATGCACCCAAAGAAGTTTCAGCGATAAAACTGAATTATAAATCGATTATTTAATTAAAAATAAATTTTAATTTATATCCTGGATGTTTACGAAATTATTAGGCAGCATTTTTTCGTAAATAATGGTTTCCTCTGAAACTAACTAGAAAAAAGAAAGACCATTTGGCCGGTCATGGCAGGAATAGATATGTATGGATTGTCGGTAGGTTTAGTGTTAAACGACGACTCTTTAAAGAGATATAGAATTCCACTAAAGAAATTTCGATGATTTTGTAATCTTGTAAAAGGTGACTTTGAGAAAGAAGTTTTGTCGATCGTAAAGTTTGCCTTTTGGAATCAAACATTCTCCTTCCGTATCGCTTTTCTTTCGCATCTTTTTGAAGTTTCCAATACGAAGAGTCTGTTTCGACAAACGGATTGCAAAAGTTCGAGAACTCGGCGAAGTCACGGAACTTTAAACCGAGCTCTCCAAAGGCGTTTTTCTTGAAACAACATTTTTCAAAGCGACGCGTATCGATTTGTTCGAAACTTAACTTTGGCTTGAAACTATCGTATCAACTAGGATCCACATTTATGCGCTGGAAACTTCTACACCTATCGCATAATGAAAGCGTAAATTTCGCAATTTTGATTATTTTTTAAGAATCCTAGATCACACGATAGATCAATCTGAATTGTTTTTATCGGTTGACAATTGGTTACGAACTTCCTTTACAGCATATGATTCGAGAATTAACAATTATTGATACTTGGAAAAATTTATACAAGTACTCGAAGTGTATACAAAATAAGAACCGAAAGGTCTAATACTTTCCTCCAACTAATACGCAATGAAAGTCTAAATTTGTGCCGTCTATTTTGGAACCATAAAGATCGGGCGATACTTGCAATTTTCATTAGAAAAGTATTGGACATATTTACTTCAAACTTTGTATATATATTTATGTATTCCCAAGTTATAGAAATTTTCGTAAGTACAAATAATTGACTTTGTTCAAGTCCACGTTTGGCGCGATAACTTTCATTCCAGTCGTCTTAAACGTAACGGCCATAAAGATATTCATTATAAATATAGCTATCCTTCGAACTAAAACAAACAAGAGAACTCGATATTTGAAAAACGTGCACCACGTACGATAAAAAACTTCGTTTCTCCATCAAATTACGTTGCTTCTCCAACCCGGCGATAAAAAGCATTTCCAGATATCGAGTTCGTTTCAGTTCAAACGATAGAGGGGGCATTTTGGTTTGAAAAATGCCATTTCGAGAGAAACGATTTTCAATCTTTTCCAGCGTAAACTTTTCAAGATTGAAAACCTTTAAAAGGAGACCAACGAGTATTATTTATCATCGAACCAGTCAAGGCATCCCTTAAAGTTTGTACATAGAGCATATAGAGTATTTTTTAAATATCGTCCCTTTAAGAAAATATATAAAGGAAGGAGTGAATTTTGTGTCTTCAAACTAGGTAAACCCTAACAGCAAAGCAGTACGAATCGCTGTTGCGCGCGGGGGAACCTATTTAGCGGTCCGTATCGGGCAAGAACCTATTCGTTCCACCAACCGTAAACGTTCGAGCGTCGCTCTGACGAAGTAATAACGCGGATGCTTCGACTCCGTCGGCGCTCAGAGACGTTTCCCGGATCAGCGATTATCGTTCGATCGTTCGTTTCTGCGTTCCCATCACCGTCTCGGTATCGTTTCACGCGATCAGTCTTGGCTCCGTCCGTCCTCGGATGCGCGACGACGTCTAAGAGCATCGATGGAACCTTCCTCTCGTTGTCTTCCGCTCCGTGGACGCGCGCGGCTCGAATCGCTGGGATTCACCGATCACGACGTATCGAACAGTTCGTGATCCATCGACACCGCGTTCCTCGACCACTGTGTGTGTCTCTAACCCGCGGGGGGGGAACACCGTTCTTACATCCACCGATTAGAAACCGAAAGAAACGATGCTCCGTTCAGCACCAACGAATAATCTAAAAAGAGGCTCACTCGTCCCTCGAGTTCGACTCGTATCTGGACACCTGGCACGAGAGATTCAAGCACGTGTGCAGTTTAAAGCGGACGCGTACGGGACGATCTCGAATACGTGCCGTCTCTACACGTACCACTCTTTGATGTCTATCAGTTCCCGTTTCTTGTTGATTTTGCTGCCGTTCGCGCCGTTTTTCAGTGCCCCGTTGAACGGCTGACCGGAGCCAGCCGCCCCCAGCAACGCCGCGTTCGGGTCCTGGCAGAAGGTCTTCGTCTCGTCGACCTTGTAGCTCGTCTCCGGGCGGTTCTTGAATTTTAGGATTATGAGGATGATCAGGACGATCGCGATCAACGCCGCGGCTATGATGCCGATTATCAACGCCGCGTTCTCCGCCGCCTCTGACGTTATCCTGTTCTTGTTGTTGTTCTTCGGCGGCGTCGGCATAGGCGGGTAGATCGGGGGCGGTGGTGGTCGTGGTGGGTCTGTCATCTCTGTGGTGGTGGTTTGGGTCGTCACGGTCGTCGATCTCTGCGTCACGATGCTACTGCAACGGTCAAAACACGATTGTCTTAGAATTTGTTACATTGATGCAAAGGTAAACATATGGTGGGCGAGAGAATCGAATGCAAAGCCTTCAGTTCCATATACAGGGTGTTCTGCCACCCCTGGGAAAAATTTTAAAATCAAGAATCAAGAATATCAATTTCTTGACTGAGGCATCGTTAAAAAGTTATTAAAAAATTAGATTAAAAAATTTCGAATCATTCTGTAAAAATTATTTTCAGTCGCAGGGGTCGAATACAATCATTTTTGGTGGATACACATACCCACGAAATCCTACCCACTTTCTAGAAAAAAATTCGAAAAGGTGTGAAATTTTTCGACAAAATTAAAACATTTCGAATCGTTCTAAAAAAATTATTTTCAATTGCAGGGATCGATTACAATCATTTTTGGTGAATACATATACCCCCGAAATCCTACCCACTTTCTAGAAAAAAATTCGAGAATGTGTGAAATTTTTCGACAAAATTAAAACATTTCGAATCGTTCTAAAAAAATTATTTTCAGTTGCAGGGATCGATTACAATCATTTTTAGTGAATAGACATACCCCCGAATTCCTGCGCATTTTTGAGAGAAAAATTCAATACTGGCGGAACTTTAAATTTTACTAACTTTTTAACGAAGCCTCCATGAACAAATTGGTATTCTTGATTTTCGTCCTATTTTAGCCTCTAGAATCTCCAATTAAAATTTTTCCGAGGGTTGAAACGGGGAAAATAATTTAAATGATTTTTGCTAATAAAGGTTTAGTAATAGATTAGTTTATCTAGTTTATTTTGTCGTGTTGATGCAAAGGCAAACATATGGTGGACATAATTATGATTTCAAAGGGGTTATTTTATTAAACGAAACGGGGAAAATAATCTAAATGATTTGTACGAGTAAAGGTTATTTAATAGATTAGTCTATCTAGCAATGTTTGCTTTTTTGAATCCAATGAGTGTAACAAAGTTGACAAGATGTTGTAGTGATTAATAAATAATAAAAAGAAGGTCAAATTAACAGTAGTTTAAAAAACAAATTCATAAATACGAGATACTTTTACTCCCTTAAATATTTGAATATATTAGTATACTTTACATGGTGTCCCAATGTTTTAATTACCAAATGTTGTTAGTATATTTCACAGGACTAAAAGAAAAGGAGAAAAGAATGTTATATAAACGTGGCTCGTTGAATAAAATCGACTACAAGTTATAAAAGAATAATTTTCCTACTTCGTTTGTTATTAAAATGTTTTTATTCGGAGTCATTACTTTGCATTCAATAGTCGTATTTAGTACGGCGACAATATCGAGAATATCGATCAGGTCTTTTCAAAGCTGAACGTTTGAAAAGTCACGTAGCGAAATAATATTAAAATAATAATGTTCGAAATATGAATCGTTGAAATTTGTGTTTCGTGGAATAGTTGAGAGCTTCGAGTATGTTGGGATGAAAAGCGAGAAAATTAGAAAATAATTTCCATCGAAATCCCGTAAAACGTTTAGAGAGTTTTGTTGGGAATTATCGACAACAGCGAAATAATGGAATAAAAATGTTCAAAAGGTAAATAGCCTTTCGGTTGTTTGATTAATGTTTGAAATTGTAATGTTGGATCAATTTTGCAAGTTAGTTCAGCGAATCGACTGAATCGGTTAGGACGGTTAACTAACCAAACCACTAAATCCAATTTGACTGCTTAATCACAGTTTGGTTATCCACAACCCCTTGCACAACCCCTGGACAGGTGCATAATTTATCTTCGATTTTAGTATCGATATGCGAAAATCTAAATACTTGCTATCACTTTTCAAAATATTTGTTTTCGTACAACGTATTAACTTACAACGATTCGACACAGATTTCATCGATCGAAAAGGCTGTTTGTTTAGTCTGTTTTCATTCAAAATAATGAAATATTAATAATCAGTGATCAACAGAGTTATTACCAGAAATTACGTTTGCATTTTTAGCGTTCTCGAGTAATAAATGTTGTGAAAGTGCTTTTCCATTTCATTCGAAATTCATATTTTCATTGTACTTTTTATAACTGAAGCGTAGGCTATAGAGTATCGATAAAACGCATCTAACTCTGTTAAAAACAAACTGCATCCTTGTTTTAAATGGAACTCTATAATCTTGGTTGGGCTATTCGATACAATTTTGTAATCTCTACAAGAAAATGTTAGAGTATTTATGCCCTAAACCTAATAGTTCAAGAGTTATAATTTAATGTTTTCTAAACTAGTTTGGTGTACTTTACAGTCGTATCTAGCTCTAGAATAAGTGCTTAAACGGTCTTCCATTGGATTCTAAACATTTTTGCATTCATTTCTCTACGATATTTAACACTTTTCATATGTTTATTTCTATAATTGTCGATATTTCTAAATCTTGAATGCCTTGAACACACATCTTTCGTCTTCTAAAACTGATTTTGACCCTTTTTGGTTTACAAAAGGAGCCACAGTCTAATAGAAGTACGAAGGGAATGGTTGTTTCAAACGAGGATATATTTCTTTGTACAACATTGCAGTACCACAACTATTTTGATTATATTTGATAAATAAAATAAACATATCTACTCTCTCACCATTTATGAATGAGACTAGTATTTACAAACATTTTGATGCCTAATAGTATACGAGAATGGCTCGATAAAAATGAACAGAAACACAATTCGAAGCGTCGTGACCCTTGAACTACCAGATCTAACCCATAAGAATTATCTCTTATCTCGATACTTGATCCTAGAGATTAAAAAACTGCATACCATAAAAATGATCTATTCTGTTTAAAAGAATGCAGTTACATTTGTTAAATACATTCAGTTTGCCTTAATAATCTCCATGTAATTTTGCCTCTTGATATCTTGACCCCTTGCATACGATTTAATTCCAAATAATACTTCAAAATTGAATTTCGTTCGTGTACAGAATGGCTACGAAAAAGGATCCGTATACCTCGTGGTACACAAAAATGTAAAGCTCGATTAGCCTCGCGATTCTGAAAGTTGAGATCAAGAACTCGCGAACCCGGACTCGTCATTCCACGGCAAGGGGTTGAAGATACGACTGTTTTACCTGTACATAGCCACACGGTCGAGAAACACTTTGTACAGAGACGCGAAAAACTCATGGCCCCGGGAAGACACGTTGCACGTAACGCGCGATAAAAACATGAATTGCCACTCGTTCCAACCCTCCCCGCGGTCGAGTGGTCCTCGGAACGTCAGGTCGACGACTAGTTTTGGTATCGCCGCGGGGGTGTCCGAGCGAAACTGACAAACTCACCTGGCGTGGCTGGTCTCGACGTCTGTGGTTGACACATTGTACTGGCCGGAGACGGTGACGGTGTCCCGGGTCGATGTCGACGGCGAGCCTGGAGACGTTTGCGTGCTGATGTGGCTGGTCGTGTACTCGTGGGCTGTCGTGTACGTCACCGAGCTGGAATCTGCTCGGGAAATGGAATGGAGAAGCGTCAGCCGGCTGGTGCAATTACGTGTATCCGATTGGCCCGAGAGGGATGGGGTAGTAACGTGCTACCGACAATATTTACGCGTGCGTAGGCCGGCGATATTCACGCGTGCGTGGGCAGCCACGTTGCGAGGACAACCGGAGGGAGTCGTGTTACGGTGCTCCCAGGGACGTACGTTTAATCGCCCGATGGAAATTGCCGTCTCGTTCCTCGAAGGATGATCGATTTTTTTTTTTTCGCGACTGGAATTTCGCCACCCCTCCAGGAATTTAATACGAAATAGGTTTCGAGACCAACGATTTCCCAATCGGTAATTCATTTCAACCCCTCTTAAAAAAGTACTTTTGATTGTCGTGGCTATTATACTTGTCACATTTGTATTTGGCAGTGATTTACGAATCGCCCCCCAGTTTCGGTTTTGTGGTATTTGATACGAGATGGTTTTTGAGACCAACGATTTCCCAATCGGTGATTTGTTTCAACCCCCTTGGAAAACTCTTAAAAAAATACTTTTGATTGTCGTGGCTATTATATTTGGCAGTGATTTACGAGTCGCCCCCCAGCTTCGGTTTTGTGGAATTTAATACGAGATAGTTTTCGAGACCAACGATTCCCCAATCGGTAATTTGTTTTAACCCCTTTGGAAAACTCTTAGAAAAATACTTTGAATTATCGTGGCTATTACATTTGTCACGTTTATATTTGGCAGTGATTTACGTACAAGTTGCCATAGAGAGTTGCTCGACGCGTTGAAACGATGAGAATTTATTATGAAAATTCTTGTTCGATTCATGGTCAACAGAATCGACAGAACTCTGTTGGTTCAGTTGTCGATCGCCATATTTCAATGTGTCAACGTAACACAAGGAGCGAGGAGAATAGTGCTGAATATCGTTGAGCAGATCGAAACTGGCTCTGATTCTGCCAGAACAATTAGAATTACCAACGAAGCTCATTTTTGGATTTAAGGTTTTGTTAAGATGAAGAACCTCTGTGTCTAAAACCTCTGTTTTCCGTAGACAATATGGCGCCATTATGCTTTCACTGGAGCCATCGTTTTATTGAGATCGAAGTTCAATGATCTAACTGTCGATTGAACCTTTTCTAACTTAACCACGTTAAGTTTCTTATCTGTTCCAACGAACCACGTTTATTGACGACGGTCCATACTGAAGAAACATATTTTGTAATCGAAATAGTCAAAGCAAAGGTGATTTGCTCGCTCACTGTGCATTCTTTAACAGCTGTATTATTAACCCTCCATTGCACTATGTGCTCGATTGGAAATCCGATAAAAGCAATCCATGAAAAGTTCACTGAGAACGTTCTATAAGACACGTTTCCTTATCGAGACATTTAACCTCTCGCCGTACGATTTAATTATAAGTAATATTTCAAATGTATATTATTTAATTTCATAAAGATTCAGACTTGTCATTGTACAGAAAGAAGATCTGTCAATAATCGTTTTTTTTTAAAAAAAACTTTCTTACAGAAAGTATAAAATCATTTTTTTTTAAATTGTAACATAATTTGTCAAATTAAAAATAACTATATATTCCTATTTAATATCTATCTCAATAATATTTAAATCTTTCTGAGATATCGCGTATAAATTTTCGATAGTTTCAATTGTTCAACGTTTGAAAAAGTGCTTGATTGATAATATTCCAATCGAAGAAAACGAAGGGTTGAATAAACATCGACAAATAAATCGACGAGCTCGATCAAATCAGTACACGAATTGCAAAACACAAGGTACGGGAGTTATCGCGACGAATCGCACGAGCCTCGTTTCGCGTCGTTCAAGATCGATCCTCAGTTGTTCCAGTTAAACTGTGTCGACTGGGTAAGTTCATTAGTCGCTGAGGATTTGTCGATCAAAGAACCCGGTGTCCTTAAAATACATCATCGAACCGTCTACCTTTTAAAAGTCAAACGAATTCGAAATGGAAAAACGATGTTCTTCGTATACAGGGTATTTCAGAACCACAAATCGAGACTCGACTAAATCGATAGGGCATACAAAACCAAACGAAAGTCTCAACTATAAAATAATTATTGTCGGAGATATTCTATTCTTTGGAACTTCTATTCTTCGGTTGTTTCGTTTTGTTTAACTCCAAGTACTTTCCAGTGGGCTGTGAAGTTATTATTACTCTTACTTGCAGTAATTTACTTATGGTACATATCAGACCTGGTATTAGCTCCATGCATCGAAACGAATGGCCATTAGTTTGAAACATGGCCTACTTTAAACATACCTATTACGAAGCCATCAATAATGGGGTTGATACTTTGAACTCTCGAGATATCAGTGATTCTACTTATATAATCGCATGTACGGAACATTTATCTTGCTATGTTTATACTTCAGATATTCTGTTTGTATTTTTAGTGTTCTATTTCCCAGTTAAGTCTCTATAGTTCATCCTTAAATTTTGAAACAACTAAAAAAATTTAATAAAGATCTTATGTATAAATATATAATTTTGAAAATATCTTCCCATTGGCTATACCAGAAATCACGCCATACACTTTATCGAATATACATCTTGAATCGTTATACCTTTAAAATACGTTTACAAAGAGCGATACGACCAAGAGGATTCGATTCTACGTGAAAAAGTGAATCGAAAACGTAGAATAAATCTTTTTCGTGCTGTACTCTATTTTCGAGAAAATCGTGTTTGAATCTGTTCGGTGCGCGTGCACGATTTATTAAAACTCGATTCAACGAGCACAATAATTATTTCTACATTAACTAGAAATTAGCTCGAGTAACTCGATGCACAAGAATATAAAACTAGTGAATCTCGTAGAAGGAATATATTAAATTTTGATTTATTTTTTTTACGTAGAATCGCTTTGTTTTCGGTCGTATCACTTACCTAGTGCATCTTAAATCCCACGATACGGTTATCTTTGTTGCACCCGTCCCTTTCGAACCGACAGCCAGAGGTTCGGGGGCACGCGAAAAGGCGTTCCTCAAGGTCGACCCTGCGAGGAAGGCGCAAAAGGAGATTTCGTAACCGGTCGGGGAAGCTCCTGGGGCGTCTCTATTCGTCGTGCGGCGCGGAATTACTTTAACCGCGATGAACGGAGGCCGAGCAAACGATGGGGAGGGCAACCCTATTCTGCGGTGAAGAGCGACGTACTGAAAGAAGTCGCATCCCCGTCGCGCCGATGAGGGTAGCGCTATTTTCGTGACGGTCAACTTAACCGGTGGCAGTCGGGATTGGCGGAGCTTTCGCCGCACGAAGTTGAGGGATATGCAGATGAAGAGGACGCCCACGGGCCAAGTATTTCCGTAACGAGACTCTCCTGCCTTCCTTCCATTTGCATTTCGAAGATCATCGCATAGATCGTCATTATCGAAAAAATTCCCTCCCAAGAAATCGTCTTTGAAAAAATATATTATCTGCACGCCAATTTTCCTGGAATCTTTCTCGTGATTCGAAAAGAGTTTTTTCTAAAGTTCGAAACTAATTTTTTTTTCTAGCATATGTTATTTGCAATTTCTTTGTTACCCTAAGTAAGTGAAGATTCATTTTACTTGTTAGAGACAGTAATATTGTCTCGTTCGAAACTTTTTTTTTTTTATCCTAATTTTGATATGTGTAAGTGAAGATTCATTTGACTTGTTATAGACACTAATATTGTCTCTTTCGAAACTGGTGTTTCATGGCAAATTGGTTTGGAATTTCGATAGGACGAGAGAAAATTGCATCAGCGGAATTGAATATCTTTTTTCAGCGCAGTTACACGGTTAACCGTGTCCTCGGATGTAATTGAAGTCTTACTTCAGCAGATACGGCTCATCAAAGCCCATTCACGAGATACGACTCGCCACGTATTATTAACTCCAGTATTTCAGGTTCTATATTCGTGTAAAATTCTATTAAAAAGCGTCGCGTCCGGGGATTTCATTTAGTTAGCAATTTTCATTCTCAAAATGGACACGCGCATGTCGCCCACGGTTTTTTTTATAAGCTAACCAGAGTCACTTAATTGCGTCGAAACTCCTGGAAACTCTCTGGTCGGGGCAAGTATTTTTCTATTAAATATTTCAGCTTCTATTTGGACTTCAATAAAAATTTAATAAAAATGAAATCTAAAATACTTTGAGAGGTGGTATATTAATCGCGTTTCTACCAAAGAGGATCTAGATAGATTGATAAAAACTGTAACTTTTTATATCGCATATCTAATATTTTGTTACTAAATATTTCAACTTCTATTTGGACTTCGATAAAAATTTAATCAAGAGAAATCTTAAATAGCTTGATAAGTGGTCGAACGAGAACATTTATTATAGCTTTATATCAACCGCGTTTCTACCGAAGAGGATCTAGATAGATTGATAAAAAAAATTGTCCGTAAATCACCAACCACTTAGAAAATGCAGATTAAAGTGCACCTTTTAGATCGCCGAGATACATCTAATTTTATTATTTTCACGAAACTAAGAAACACATTTTTCTGATAAATAAAACTAGCAAAGAAAATGCAATAAATCTCATTTTAATTTGCACTTTCGAGCCAAGAAAACAAGACAAGAATCCCCAGTTGAATCTCGAGTTTTCGCGGATCGATTCGACTCGATCGAGAGACGTCTTTAAAAATCTCGGATTCCTTTTCGTATTGAAAGATACTGAAATTTTTTTTTCGATTTCGTCCTTTGGTAAACGTTTCGATATTATGCAAGTCTTGGAAATACTCCACCGGCGCGAGGAGCGAGCATGCACTAGTCACTAGGAAGTGAACGAGAGGAAACCGTGCACGGAAGATCAATACCAGGGCGTCGCGTGTTCACGGGGCGAACTCGAGTGAAAATCGAGTGTCCTGAGCCAGCGGGGGGTTGAGTGAAAAATTAAAATAAAAGGAGGGAAAAACAGGAGAAAACGGACCGGTGGCCGACGTGACGAAGATCTCCTCGGTGGTGACTGGCTCCCCGGATCCTTCCTCGCAGTCCTCCTCGTCGTCGCACGAAGGACGTTCCTGGATCTTCTCCTTGTGGTGCTTCGGCCTGAACGTCGTCGGCGACCTCGTTGGCGCGACGTAAACCGGCGTTATTATGTCGTCTGCGAACAAACAGTCGGTTCCGTCATTACCAGCGAAAACTGCACGGTGGAAAGAAACGCCGACTAATGTCTATTTAATGTTGCTCTGAATCAAGATATCCAGTTAAGTACTTCTGCTATCGTTTAGCCATTTATTCTCAGAACTGGAAAGCTCGTTCCGCGAAACGTGCAACGTCATCTATTTTTTAAATACGAAACAAAATCTACTGTAAATTAATCTATGTAAATTGATGATACTCTTCTTATCGAATTTTTATAAGATCCTAGCTATGTATGATATTATAGATTTTCATAGGAAGAGAGCTTTCAAATTATTTTTGCTTGCAGCTTGCAGCTTTGTTCCAAATTTTGAAAAATTCATTAGCAAGTGGATCCATGCAATAATCCAGAAACCATTTAATTCAACATGAGATATGAATGAAATATAGTTTTGAGAAATGGCGATTGACAGAAGAAGAACTCCAGTTTCGTTAAGAAAAATGTTCGACCAAAACACTCAAGCACATCTTTAATAAATCTTTAATAAATACTCAAGCATTTCGAAAATTGTTAGACTACTCTTAAAATGGGAGGTAAAAATATCGTACTCCAATAACTTTGTCCCTTTACCCAATTAATTAATTCCCGAAAAGTGGCCAATAATTTCTTTTTTGAGAGACGGAATGAAATTCGTGTAATGTAGGTTTAAATAAATTTGAATACAGAGAGGATCGTGATTATTGAAATTGCGTTCCACAGTGTTGTATTCGAGGCTCGCATAATTTTCGCGCGATCGCCCCAGCGTTTGCGTCATCGGGGGTATGTAACGCGAAATGAAAATGCGGTTATTGCGAGAACTATCGAAAGCCCGGGGAGAAACGGTAATGGCGATAGAATGCACGTGTGATTGGGAACGTTTTGTTCGCGGGCAGCGATACCCGTTTTCCTTTGAACTCAATCTCGCCGACAATTTCGTTGATTTTCAATTTTGTTCGAATCATTTTTGGCACGTCGGTTTGTCGCTGAATCTATGTCGAATAAAACCGTTGATTTCCACGGATCGTATTGATTTTGCTATTTTTACATTGGGAATATTGCATTACTCTAGTTTCGTTGTACCGGAAGCCAATATGAATTGGAATTTTTAAATACTGCCTTTATTTGCGATCTTATGGACTTTATTTTAACTGTGGAAAGGAAATATTGTGTTATTGGATCATAAAATTTTACGTTTTTAAAATTATTTTCGCCTTTTTCGTTACTGAGACAATTACAGAATTTCAGAATTTCTTTTATTACAGGAGTTAAAAAAGGAAAAGTTTATGAATTAATAACTGATAAAATAGACTAGTATTTGCTGAAAACGTTCGATAAAAATGCTTGTAACGACTAACGAGATTACGTCATAATCTAATTTAAAGCTAAACGTACAGACTTATAAGCAATTAGCCATGTAAGTTCATTGACAGGCATTTAATATGGAACAAGGGACCAAACTAGATTAAGAATTAATCCTGTTATAAAATTGTTTACATTTTACTGCAACAGTTGCATCCGAATAATGGTTAATACTGTTCAGAAATTTAATTCCAATAGAACGTCACGTCAATTGAATTCCAATTATGAATTGCAATTATATGTTAATTAACTTTTCGATTAAACGAACGCTACGAATAAGTCACTATACATTGTATTTGTAATTCGTTGCTTGTTAACTCTAAACTAAGATTAACTGTGAAAGTTTTATGTAATTATAAAATGGTGCATTTCGTCCATAAAAAAACATTAACCATCTTCGATTTACATTTGAACGAAATGAATCTCGTTAGTCATTATTTTCTTCACACGAAAACAGAAAAACATCTATGAAAGATCTCGCGTGTAAAAATACACGATCGGTCGCGATCAACCAGAACGCCGAATGTATTACACAAGCCGTGCGTGATTTAAAACAATTAAGCCCGTTATCTGAACAGTTTCGTGACTGTATTATACATACAGCAGAACGACCAGCGTGTCGTTCTTATCTGAAATGTGTACTGGAGGGAATTAAACAATTTTTTTTCGCGTAGATATCAACACAGCTTTACGAAAATTACTTGCAAGTGATATAAACAGCGAAACAGAGATGCAAACAAATATTTCCATACGATGATAAATGCAAAATGTAAATACAGAGTTCTGCGTGCGGGAATCCCCTGGTCACGTTTATCGAGTGCGCACGTCGAACGCGCATGGGCGTTCGCCGCACGCTATGCACTGCTCGATGTCTATAGCATTCTGTGAGAGCTTTGGTCGATCGTTCATATGCTCGAGAAAATAAAAAAACATAAACGATGCAGCGAGCACAGATAACTGCAACGACTCTCGATGATAACGAACTAAATATATCGTTGAAGAAAGTTTCCTCGTGCAAAAAAAAAAATATTTTCCCGTTCGATCATCGTTCTTGACGCTTCGTCTTACGTTCGTCTCGTCGTGGGCGTGTATTTTCATCGTCGAAATGTCACGGTACTGAAATAGCCAGCTCCCCACGGGCGACAAAGTCGCTTAATCGCGCGTCTGTATATTAAAGGGATGGTATTAATTCAGTTTTTAGTCAGCCGGAGAAGATTTTCGAACCGGCCGGCAAACATCGCGAGGAGGTCGACGGGAAAGAGAAAGGTGGGGGGGTCAGGATCCTAAATATGCAAATGAATCGAAGATACAACCGAGCAAACATGAAGACGAAAAGGTAGCATGCCATGCGATATGCGAACCCGATCGTGCGTATGTTCTCCTCTGTCCTACGTCGCGCCACTCTCGACACGAAACGCTGTTAACGATAATAATCGATACGACTATCGATTAAAAATAAAAGTTCGAGCAAATCTGTATGCAACGGTGCCTTACGCAAATTAAATCGCGTAAAAATCCATCAATTTTGAACCATCGTTCTCTTTGCCCAACTACGGTCCTGAAAAAATCACCTGCAAATTCCTACCCCCCCTTTTTAAAATAAAATATTTTACAATATGCAAAAAGTATACAAAATCATTATAAACAGTGATATCTTTTACCATTGGAATGAATTAAATTGTATTTATTGTTTTTATAAAATATCTATTGAAGGTTTGTATTAATAATAAATGTTTTTTAACTATATATAAAATTGACCCGACGAAATCCAATGCCCGAATATACATTTGCCCTCGAGGTAATTATAATTCTCGTTTAATTCCAGTTTTCGTGTCACGAAAGAAAATTAACAGGTTCCCTTTTGGCCCGTAACGATTGAACAACTGGGAGATATTTAATTATTTACGCAGTCGTTATGTTATTGTTTATAATTCAAAGCATGAAATTGTTTAATTTGTCAGATTAAAAATGGGATTTTAAGGTTTGAAACGTTGTTACTGAATCTGTATACGTATTTACGTATCACATTTTGGACAATTCGCAGCATTACGTGAATTAATAATAAATTAACTTCATTTTACATTGAAAATCAATGTTTAACGCGTAACGAAATGCAAGAATAATCAAGCTCCGAATAATGGTTTTCATCGAATGAGAGAAAAAAAAATGTGGTAAGAGCCGCCAAAGGCGACAGTGCCTTACCATTTTATGTGTGTTCCATCCTTGTCTAGGGGAGTGCTAAACGTCTCTCCTTTCATACTACACAGTAACGTAGCGCGTTCCGCGCCGTTATATACGAACCGACTAGTGGTGCGACCACTTGCGAGAAAACGCTTCCTCGAAAATAACTCGAATACGATTAATCCAATCTAAACACCACCAATACATTTTTTTACTCCACATGTCATAATCTATCCCATCATATACTTTTTTTACTCGATTCGTTGGAATTAAAAATCTTTCTATATATGTATATACAGCGGTACGTTATTCTCGATGCAAACGTACAGGCAGCGATTTATCATGAACGAATAAATAAAAGACAAAGAATACAATTTTTTCGTACGAAGCTTCGTTTTTGAGAAAATCAAGTTTGAAAATGCATCAGGCACACGATCGATAGAACACGAACTTGGCTGGCGCGTCTGTTCACTTCTGAAGGTTTCTACTTCTATCGACGTCCAAGTATAATTCTATGAAACATGATTTAACCGAAACTTCTGTTATACTTTGTTTCTACTTCTGTGATCTCTGTCGTGAGCATACCCAATACATTTTTAAACTCGATTTATGAATACATTCAGAAACATTTGGCAACCGTATGGTAAACGATTCGTGTTCATTGATTTTCTTCTTTACACGAGACGTCATGCGGTAAATTCGAAACGTGAAAAATTGGCCAGACAATAACGTGCACATAAATTCTCCACGCGTGGCGGATGCTAGATGAAATGCGTATAAGAAATTCCCCCGCGAGGAAACGTGCAGAAGGAATTACTTACGCCCACGGAAACGTTACTTACACTTACCGGAACCAGACTCAAAGATTGGAGTGCATTCTTCGTCCTCGTCGTCGGCGGTGCAGCCACTTCCGGCCCCGGAAAATATGAGGTCGTCCATGACGCCTGGAAAACCGGACGCTGGTGTCTGCGAAGGAATAAAAAGAAATGAATATTTATCACGATGAAACGACGTTTCGGACGAAATTCGTGATCGTCGAAATAAAATAGAGAAAAATTGCAAAATTCAATTAACACGTTAGTTGCTACGATGTACTGAAATATTATTTACAATTAAGGAACTCTGATACTCGTAAAATTGTAAATGACGCTGTTTTACTTTTTATTCGAAAGAAAATTTCATTTCATTCGGTCTTTTTATTAGTAAAGATCTTCTTTGACACTGAAAAGCCTTTCATTCGATAATTCTTGCCCTCAGTACCGAAGAGACAATTCAATTGGAAAGTATTTTTCGCTGCGAAGAGAAAGTGTTTTCTAAAATCAGAGTATGATAGTCAACATTCAGCTCTTGTACTCATTTCTCTGCATTCTTGGTAATACCATCGAATATTTGTACAACTCGGTTCACCTGTTGCATCCTTTGCAAGGGGGCTGCACGGTCCAACAGACTCCCAGCAGGTAACAACTGGACGTCCCCTTTCGAAGTGATTCTTCCATCCTTCGAGGCGGCTAGCTCCAAAATTCGGGCACCGTTCACGACCAGGCCGGCGATTACGCCCAGAAATGGCCTCTCCACTCTCGCTTTCTCGCTGTTCCACCGACCACCGACTTCGATCGTCGACTGGCTGTTGAACACCGTTAGCTGGTGACCTGTTGACGACGATAAAAATTATTAAAAGTGTCAAAATGTCTAGAAACACTAGCATCACATCGGTTGACACCGTGTTCTTCACCGACGAATTACGATGATGATATCTATTTGTTCATCAATTGTACATTGTTATTGCAAAGTCGTGATTTAACATCCGTTATGGAATCGGGATATTGTATACATTGGCCAAAAAAGCTCCCCTCGTTCGCAGGTATAATTTCAGATATATTTTATTTAGATCCTACAACACCAACTCTTCCTTTAACATTTATTAATAATAGTATTCCTTACATCACAGAACTTTTTGACATCACAATACTTATAACTTAAGACTATTAGTTGGCTCAACAATCCAAAATAAAAAATATTGACCTAAAACTGCAAGCACATCTTCTCTGTACGTGTATAACGCAAGAAATTATAATATCCTTGATAGGAAGAAAAATTAAGTTACTAAAATACGAAGATGTTCGTGTTCATGTTCATGTTCATTTAATTTAACGATGCTTAGACTAGCTAACGTTTTTCTTTCACATCGCTTGGTTCTCAGGTTACCCTTTTCTTTATGTTATAATACACGAAGATGATCGTTTCAGCGGTTGACAAATGTTTTAGTTTGACCGCTGACCAGGCGAACAGAAGTCGGTGGGTCTGGCATGGGCAGCCAATGACCACTGTCCCAATGTATACCTTCGAGGAAGATGGGAGCGAAGGTATATAGCATCCCAAGTCTCCTACTCCTTGGGATGGGTTTGCTTCGATTCCTTTCCCTTTGTAGGGTCTAAATTTGGTTGGTTTTGAGAGCAGGCAAACATGATCCGCGTGGAACTCCGTAGGGCTCGAACTGCCCTTCGTGAGATGAAGCAGGCTCGTTGGATTACGTGCAGGCAACCGCACGCGCGATAAGGATACCTTCTTCGTCGGCTCGAAGCCCCATTGTACACAAATGTCGGATGAAAATCGATCATCTTCTTGCAAGCAGAAATAACAACATCAGAACGATTTCGAATCCTGGCTTCTTGAGTCACTCGATTAAATAAACTATTATGCACCATTTTATTATCGATGTCCGTCGTTTTCAAAAATGTGTACCAGTTCTGATGCAGTATTTTGTGTTCTTACTCGTTCGAGCGAAGAAACACTTATTTCTTCGAATCTGTTAAGGAACGAGAACACCGTTGCACGATCGATCTTTCCGGATATGTATACCTATTAACCAGGGACACCGACCAGGCCAGCATGGGCGTCCCGGAGGTCCCGTGTTCGTTAACTCGATTCAGATTGAATTATGGTTTATTAGGGTTCGTAGGCAAATAATTTCCCTCTTACAAAGGCCCTTATACATTTTAATAATTTCTATCTGCTTATTCCTCTCATTTCTCTGTATTTTCCTAATCACGATTAATTGGGAAACAACATAGTATAAATAAAAAAAAATTTATCCAAATTTTCTACTACTATTTTAATTTTGTGTCTACGTCTCTGTTTTACAGAGTTTAATTTGTAGTTCCTCACTGACCTATCCAGTCTCGAGTTATCGCGTTTCTCATACGTCCTCGCTTTTCTCTCGATAGCTCGAACCGGGCAAATCGATCGGCAGAGATCGATAATGCGGCTATTTTTTTATTAGGCGACTAGAAACCGAGGGACGGGATGCGACCGGAATCGGGTACGTTCGATCGCGGTTTCGCTCACGTGACCAGCCATGGGCGAGTTAAATATCACCTGGTAATAGGAAAGCAACAAGAACGAGGTGTCTAGCTGAAGGGATACCAGGAGGCATTGTTGCAAGTCGGGGATAATAAATAAAGAAGATGGTCAGGCAGTTAAGAAACTTGCGCTCAATTGTGTCAGTCAACAGTCAAGTTTCCTGAGAACGGGGCCTAGAAAACAGTTATACTCGACCTGGTTAAAATATGTCGGAGTAGAGACAGCTTGTAGAAAAACCAGACAGCAGAAATAATAGAAGATAACAAGAATAGAGACGTTTGGTGGGGTATAGATTGCGAAGAAGGCTGGTTAAAATGGAAAAACAGGCGTAACATATGGAGAAAATCAGGGTTGAAAGAAGATTGCGTCGTTAGCTGACTTTACGAATGAGATTGCAAGAAAAAGTAACACAACCACAATTTAATAAAACGTAAATATAATTAGAAATGGATACATCACAAAAACAGGCAAGCTGATCAAGTCAGGAAAGATCTAGGAAAATTTAGGTTAGCAAGTGACAAAATATTGATAACAGAGATTTAGATACAGACCATCAGGATAAATGAAACAGTGATATTTGTCTTGATGAGATCTGTTGGGCAATAAATTCAGATAAGAAGAAATCAGCACGAGGTTAAGATGAAATTGATTACAAAATATTATCAGAATGTCAAAGCATACTCTTGCTTAATAAGTCTTGCTTATAAACAAAGATTGAGTTGCATGAATAGGAAGGTCTGATCTTATTAGAAAACCCAGGAAGAAACCCGTTAAGGCCAATCAGTCCAGCAGTTCTTTATTTGGATGTTTAGAGTCCCACATTAGATTCTATCGCATCGATTATCCATATTACATTTTGTTCTTACGATTGCACAAATACTTCAGGATTGTTTTCATCGCATTCCGTTCCTTTTTGCTTACACTGCACCGTTCGCGTAGGGTCGGCTGGACAATAATTTTGGCGAGTCGAGAAAAAATGGGCCTGGCTGACAGGTTTATCAGGCTTACAGAAGCTACCAAGAGGACGATGGCTCGTTGCTGTTTTAGGCACCGCAGCAATGGCCTCTCCAGATCCACGAACAGCTCAGACAGATACCTCGAGACTCGGTGAAAATTCAAACGATCCTCAACATTCTTAACAGAGGTTTAATTGTTAAGATAAGTAATATATTGGATTATGAAGCAAGAAATAAGAAATCAATTATTGCGAATAGTAACGAAGTTGCAACTTATTAAATCCGTAATTGATTATCACCAACATCTGTCAACTTTCCTGTCGTTCATTTTCTTTTGGCTTTATTATCGAATCTTACATTTTACGACTCTAACCTTCCCATCTTTCATATTCCAGGGCTCACACACGTTGCTGACTATCGCCAACATGGACGCCATCTTGATAAACATACAGGAGGCTCCCTTTTTAACCTCCAGGGTTAAAATTTCACTCTTGCTATCAAACAATGACTCAAACGAGCATTATTTTATTATTATTCATTATATACTATTTATTCACTCCTTTTTTATCCACAAAAACACATTTACACGACTCATTTACAAAATCTTCTCGAGTTCCAGCAAGTTTAGTTTTTTATTTATAAGGTGCATAATTGCTAACATACAGGACTTTCGCACCACTTATCAGGTTTACAGTTTTCTCACATCGTATAACAAACTTTTTCAACATTTCTACAAGCCTTATGAAAAACATTTTTTATTGCTCAGTTTTCCTATTTCTGTCTTTTAAGTTATTTCTCCTCGCTCTCTGCTTCTATTCTTAACTCTGTATTTTGGACGATCACAATTTTAACTATATAAAAAATCACAATTATCAATACTTTCTCCGGTCAAATCTCCGGGTTGAGCGACTCATCTTTAGTTTGATTTCTCTTCTCGTTCATTTGCCCACCACATTGCTTATACTATTTTTTACAGCGTTCTCAGGTACTCCCGAGCATCGCGAGTTCCAACGACGACGCTTTTTTTCTTCGGGCACCGGCACTTGCTGACCAGGCATAGTGAATCTATCAGCGTAGCATAAAAATAAAGTTGGTCGTTCGTCGGTCCGCCGTGACGCGGAACGCCAGCAGGGACGCATGTGTTGGCGCAGCACGCGCTCCATTTTGTCGCACGTGTTGACTAGCGAGTGATTTCCCTGGTCAATTACGACGGAACCCAAACGCTAGCGAAATTGCCGACCGCCTGGCAGGTGTTCCCAGAAGATAAGCGTGTCATTCACGCCGCATTCCGATCTGAAGAAGTCCAATAAACTGTATCACTTTACTAGGAGAGCAGGAGAGCCGTGGGTGCGTCCGGGTTCCCCCGTTACAACCGAACGCCGAGAATTTAGGCAGCCACACCTCTTCGTCGAGTGCCTGATTCACAGAATCCCTCACCGAGCGATACGTTGAGTCTCGTGCTTTTTAATTGCACCTTTGTCCTCCAATCATCGAGCAACGGGACCAGTAACGAACGTAAAGATTTATTACCGTACAACTGAACGTATTTATTATATTTTTTCAGTGTTTATTGCACGTTTCTGGGTATAGTTTAACAATATAAACAATGGATTTTTATATATTTTTATTAGTATTATTGTTGAAATTATTTTGTCTTCCGTGGAAAAGTGAGTTGACATAAATTGGGATTACTTTCTAATAATATGTTAATATCAGTGAAAGTGTAATTTCTCTCCGATCGAGCGACGACTTAGTACTTGTGGATCGTAAGAATTCGATGATCGGTTCGAATCGACGTATGTAGCAGTCGAACGTGTGAAATCACGGTTGTTCGACGTTTTGTAGCAATTAGCTCTTGCACGACATAATCTAAATTAATAAGTAAACTGATAGGGGAGTATAGAGGGCACGGAGGTGGTCAACCCGAAAGTGGGTTAAGGCGTTTCGTCGCTTAGACAAGTGGCGCATTCGGCTAAAATGGATCAGGAGACAAGAATCGGAACGTGCGGACTGGGCCGCCTAATCTTTCGGCGCTGCCTTGCGTGAATTCCTGAACCGACGTTTCTCGATAAGGATCCTGTTAACCCTATCCACACAATGCCTCACGAATTAGTATCAAAGATAATATAATAAAAAACAGAAAAGCGGTACAAATTCCCACAACGAAGATCGCAGAGTTTCGACGAAACAAGATTTACCGTTCGGGAAAGAATTTATCTTCGCGAGAGAGATTAGGAAATGCTCGTTGACGCCAGTTAGCTCGATAACTGATATCGATCAACCGTCATGGAGTGTCCGAACGATAAAAAGCGACACGCGTCGCGATAACAGGA